TATGTTAGAGTCATTTCCTGAATGTTACAATTATATGAATAAAGTTTTATATAGTAATCGAATTAGTTGGGCTAGATCATTTACACCATTTCAATTTAATGTCAGCGTACAAAGTATTCAAAGTGTAGAGTCATTTAATGGCATTATTAAGAAGGCTTTAAATAGTGCTAATACACTGTGTGATATTGAAAAAATAATTAATAAAAAAAATGAGGATGAATCTCAATATTGTAAATTGATAGATCTTAAGGATTAATATATGACTATTGGTCTTCCGCATCTTTCATCTTAATTTTTTTCAAGTGTGGATATGATTCTTGTTCAGTTTTTAACACCACCTATACTATCATGGCAACAATTTTAAATATCCCAATCGTTTACATATGAGAGTTCATTAGTTCTATACTCTATCGAAGTAAGGAAATCTTATTATTTATGTTAACTATTATTTATGAGCATGTATATAATATGTTATATTGTTATGCTTATTTTATAGGCTTCAGAATTGGAAACTATTAATGACTATTTTATAGAAGATGTATTGGATGAGCCACAAACTACTTTACAGTCTCTTTTAAGTAATATGGAAGCTAAAAATATAATTGAACTTGGAGAATTCGTCGTATAGGTAGGCTTTCACGTAAAGAGAATTTGGTAACGCTTTTTGCAAATGGAATATATATTTGTACTTGTATAGAAACTGTTACAAAGAGCATAATTTGCCAGCATTTCTGGCATGTTATGCTATACTCATATTTTGCAAGATTTCATATAAGTATTATATCTGCCAGATAGTATAAGGATAGTATTTATACTAAATTAGATTTTAATATTAAAAATTCTCCTGTATTTACTGCATTAGAATCACCCTTCAACTGTTCTTTTCAAGTAATCTTTAATTTTCAAAGTGTACAAAATTTTAATAAATCTGATTGTAATAAAGTAGATCACAAATGTATATCACAAAGAAATCGATATGAAATTGCATTTTCAACAGCCAAAACTGCTATTAATATTGTTTTAGAAACTAATAAAGATGCAGAATTGATTCAACTACTAAAAGATTTTATTGTGATGAATCAAAAGAAGCATAAAGGTGATATGGATGAATCTAAAGAAAATGTTATTACAGAAAATTACAACTCTAAAGAGGATCAGGATACTGAAGAAATAATTCTATTACAAGAGCATTTAATTGATCAGATAACTAGTTCTAATATTATTAAACTTCGTGGTGCTTCTCACAAAAGAAGACTTAAAGCTGTTACAGAATTATCAAAAGGAAAAGCATTTAATAAAGTCATGAATATTGTTCAAGAAGCTGATCATAGTGAAACAAGCTCAAGACAACAACGCAGATGCTTATTATATAAAAACCCAGACATTATCAAAAGAAATGTTTATTTGTTAATGTAGTTGGTAAAGAAATGAGTAATATAATGCATTGTATAATTGCATATTAATTGATAATATAATATTGCATGTAATTGCTTATTTATTGATATTTTTAATAGAGATTAAGCATTATTATAATTCGCCTTAATGTTTAGGATAAGGATATCAATTTATAAAAATGGTTTGCCTAATATTAGGATAAAGATATCAATTTATATAAGTGGTTCACCTAATACTTAAGGTAATAGATCAATTTATAAAAGTATTTTGCCTGGTGTTTAATATAATTGAGCAAAGCGAAGACAACAGCCAAAGTATAGCATTAACTATCTTTAATTTATTAGCAGTTATTAATATTAGAGTATGAGTATCAATTCATATAAAAGTAGTTCATCTAATATTTAGAGTAATAGATCAATTTATAAAATTATTTTGCTTGGTGTTTAGTATAATTGAGCGAAGCGGAGGTGACAGCCGAAGCGTAGCGTTAACTATCTTT